TTTGTCCATCCATCATCCATTCATCCATCCATCATCCATACATCCATACATCTATACATAATTCATCCATCCATCCATCATTCATACATCCATCATCCATCCATCCATCCATCATTCATACATCCATCATCCATCCATCATTCATACATCCATCATCCATCCATCCATCATCCATCCATCATCCATCCATCCATACATCCATCCATCCATCATCCATCCATACATCCATTATCAATGCATCCATCATCCTTACATCCATCCATCTATCCATCCATCCATCATTCATACATCCATCATCCATCCATCATTCATACATCCATCATCCATCCATCTATCATCCATCCATCATCCATCCAGCCATCATCCATACATCCATCTATCGTTCATACATCCATCATCCATACATCCATACATCTATACATAATTCATCCATCCATCCATCATTCATACATCCATCATACATCCATCATCCATCCATCTATCATCCATCCATCATCCATCCATCATCCATCGTTCATACATCCATCATCCATACATCCATACATCTATACATAATTCATCCATCCATCCATCATCCAAAGGACAAAGGCAACAAGAGAAACAAGACTGGAGCTGTGTTTGGTTTCTGATTTCTAAAAGTCACAGCAGCAGAGTTTGGATGATTCTGGAAACATTCAGACTGGAGTTAAAACTTTTTTACAAGTTCAGTTTAAACTGAACGTTTCATCAGCTGAAACAAAAATCATTGAAGTAGAAAAAATTCAGGCTGGAGGATTCTGTCTGCCGCTCAGATGAAATGACAGGAAGGTTCACCAACAGCCACCCCCACACCAAAAGTTACAGTTTTTATTAGAGGCACCCGTTTCTGGGATCAGCAGGTTTACTTGTAAAACTTTCTTCTGGTTCTGTCGGTTCCTGCTGGTTTATTCATCACTTTGGAAACAAAAATCAGGGCAAACAGTCGTCAATGTGGGAAACAGGATGTTTGTGTCCTGAGCTGCAGAACTATGGGGTGCCGTTTGTAAAGTTACTCAGTCAAAAATTAACAGCAATATTTTGTTTTATTTAGCCTTTCATAAGAAAAAAATTTGTTTTTTTAATTTCAAAGTCATATTTTCACCATGTTATTCATACATTTATAAATGTCATAGATCCAAACTAAGTATTTAATTTACAAGCTAAATATTTATTGTCCAAGCTAAACATTTAATTTCCAAACTAAACATTTATTTTCCAAAATAAATTTTCATTCAACCTTTATTTAGACAGGTAAATCCCATTGAGCCTCAAGGACTCATTTACAAGAGAGACCTGATTTCAACAAAGAGTGATGAAAACAGTGGACAACGGCGACAACAGCCATAAAAAGGCATATAATTTTTTTTATTTTTTTTTTTACAAATAAGATGGCCAAAAAAGTAACAAAAACCAGCTAGATTATAAGGCAAATTTAGAAAACTAAAAACAGGAACATGTCTGTTAAAGCCACTTAGAGAGGTCAAGGTCGAGAGCTTCAGGTCTTTGTAAGATATTCCAGGAAACAGGAGCGGAGTAGGAGAAGGACCTTTTGCCAAGTTCAGTCCTCACTGAGGGAACACTGCAGGTAATGATGTCCTGAGAGCGCACGCTGTAGCTGCACTCACGCAGAGACATGTAGGAAGAGATGTATGAAGGCAGCAAACCAAGAAGTGATTTAAAGATGAAAATGAAATGTTTAATTTTATAACTAAATATTTAACTCTCACCTAAATATTTAGCTTGCCACCTAAATGTTTAGTTAGCAAATTAAATATTTAGTTTAAATGTTTAGTTTGGAAATTAAATGTTTAGCTTGGAAATTAAATATTTAGCTGGGAAATTAAATATTTAATTTACACTTAAATATTTAGTTTACTAACTAAATATTTAACTTGCAAGTATTTAGTTTGTAAACTAAATATTTAGCTTGTGAATTAAATATTTAGTTTGGAACTATGACATTTATAAATGTATAATTAACATGGTGAAAATATGACTGAAATTAAAAAAAACGTTTTTTTTCTTATGAAAGGCTAAATAAACCAAAATATTGCTGTTAATTTGACAGTGAATTTTTACAAATGGCACCCCATATAGAACAACCTGAGTTTGAAACAATAAAGACTCAAAACAGGAGAATGATTCATGAATTTATTTGAATAATAATATGAAGACAAATATTTACAGAACAATGAAGAGTAACACTGGTGGTAACACTGAACTTCAATGAAAACACTGAACTAAAAATAACGTTTGACTTTGGGGGAGTTTTGAATTTTTATAACTTACAACAGGAGGTGGTTTTTAATTGCATTAGAAATAAATACTGAAGTTCTGAGTTTAACAAGGACCTGCTCAATGGTCTGACCAAAAAAAAAAAAAAAAAAGTACAGACTGATCCATTTCTGTGTTTGGAGTTCCACCTTCAAACGTAAGAAATGGTTCAGTCCATGTTTCTGACAATGATGAATTGGTTTTCACAGTCTGTAACAAAACTTTAAACATTTTGTAGCAAAAATGTTTCCTTGGGTTTTAGTTTTCCAAGTTCTTAGACTATACATGGATCAGAAGGACATCATTTAATCCGACGCGCTCTTTGAACTCCTGGAAGTACGATGTTTTCCAAAGAAACGTTCAGGAGCATAGATGTGAATTTATCGTTTCCACAGTTTTAAGAGGCTGGGTTGTAGTCAATGAAAAGGTCAAAACCCAACATCTGAAGCAGCTTTGCTGTTTTCTGGGTTTATCCATGCCTTCAGTTCTGCTGCACTCCAATGAGATCTCGTATGGACCCCGGACTCCTCTGGTCCTCTTCTGAGAAGAGCCATTGGAAGGTTTCCCTTTTGTTTCCACCAGCAACGCAGTCTTTCCACGGATCGTTTTGACCAGAGTCACACAGACTGTGACAAGAAAGAATAAATACTGAGAAGGAAGCATCAAGCTCTAAACTTTGTTCATGTGGTTCAGAAAACTAAACTGGTTTATATTCAAGATGCCAACTCAGCCACTGAAACCCAGAACCATCTACTCAAAGACGGCCTTCAGCATGTTGAACAACAGCGGGTTTGTGATGCCGTCCGAGTCTGTAACTGCCATTGTGGTGTGGTCCACGGTGTAGCAGTACTGCTGCATCAAGTAGCCTTCATCCAGACTGGTTCTAGAAGAGGATTTACCCAGACAGGCAGCCAGGTGGACTGTGGCTTCGTAGTTGGAGAAGAGGAGCACCAAGGATAAGGCCAAAGTGACTACGAAGAACGGGACCGTGCCGATCAACGGGGCCAGGTACGGGATGACGTAGCGGTCAGCTCCCGGTTGACCAAACATGGTCTCTAGAGCCGTAAAGGCGGTGAATGCAGGATCTCCAGTTTTTCCAACCGGACTCACCATAATTACAGGAATAGCCTGACTTCCAGAGACCCTCATGGAGTTCCAGTGGTTCGGCAGGGGGAAGGGCGCGGGGTGGAAATTATTGCAAGGACAATATTCTGGGTTTGCACAGATAAACATCCTGTGGCGAGGCTCGATGAGTCCCGTAGCGATCCCGTAGGCAGCATTAGCAGCAAGGAGGCAGTTCCATGGAGAATACAGGATCACATCTGCGATGGAGGGCAGCGGCAACAAAAATCTGGCAGGAATCACAAAGTTATTAATTTCTCCATGAGCCACAAAGATCAGATCGATCTTCTTCCTTTGTTCCCTCCTCTTCTTCTTCTTCTCTTCTTCCTCATCAACCTTCTTTTTGATGAATTTGTAGAGGTCTAGGAGTTTGAAGAAGTGTTCAGACTCTTGGTGTTCCCTCAGCCACTCTCGAACAACTTTGTCCGAAGTGATCTTGATCACGTACTCAATCAGCTCTCTCTTCTCATCACTGCTTCGGTTTTCCTTCTCAATAATCAATTTAATCCGAGCTAACTTCAGTAGAGCCTCTCTGAAACACAAATTTAAAGAAAACATTTTAATATTTACACTTTAACCACTTTCATCTGCTCAATGGAAGAACCTTAACCTGTTCCAGTTTTTGATTCCATAGCAGTTTGAACCACATAATTTATCGTTTCCATTATTCCCCGTAACTCTTGCTTACAGTACTTCATACCTTATTTTCTGCAGCTCTTCTTCCACCTCCTTAGCAGCGGTCTGTACAGCTTCAGCATTCTTTCTCAGGGCCTTACTGGCTTCAGTCTCGTAGTTGTCCAGGTTTTGACAGTCAGAAACCAGTTCAGGAACTGAGAACAGAAGTCCAACGGCTCCTCCGGCAACCTGAACACAAGACAAAACACCACAGTGCAATTTATGATATCAAGATTCAGAAGTGCAGCACGACAGCTCAGTGGTTAGCACTGTTGCCTCACAACAAGGAGGTCCTGGGTTCAATCCCCAGTTGAACCTGGGGTCTTTCTGAGTTTGCATGTTCTTCTCGTGCTTGTGTGGGTTTTCTCCTGGTTCTCCGGTTTCCTCCCACAGACCAAAAACATGCATGTTAGGTTGATTCAGGCCCAGGCCTCCCTTGCAAAAGAGATCCGTGATCGCAATGAGATTTTCCTGGTTAAATAACGGTTAATGAATAATGATAAATAAATAAATAAAGGTTCCTGTGCTATGATGAGTTATAAACCCTGACTGAAACTCCTCAGATTGTTTCTGTTCAGATGTTCACACAACTGACCTGCAACTATTTTCTCAAGGTTTGAGATGAATGTTAGATTAGATACAAGTCTATAATTGGCCAGATTTCTTGAATCAACATCAGGTTTCTTAAGTAAAGGTTTAATGACAGGAACCTTTAAGTACTCTGGTACATAAACATTCATTAAAGACAAATTAAACAGATCCAAAATGTGGACATTAATTGAGAGAAATACCTCTTTAAACAGTCTGGTTGGTGTGGGATCTAGCAGACATGTAGATGGTTTGGATGAAGCTATTATTTTTGACGATTCAGAGAGCTCAACAGGACAAAAACAGTCCAAACATAAATCAGGTTATGGTGACATTGCTAAAGTTGCCTCATCGGACACAGAACCAGAGGCGATACTAGGAAGGATGGTTTGAATTTTCTCTCTAGTTGAAATACTTTTATTTATAAAGAATTTCATGAAGTCTTCACTGCTTATAGCTGTAGGGATCCATGGCTCAACAGAAATGGAACGTTTCATTAGTCTAGATATGGTACTGAACAGAAAACGGGGGTTATTTTTATTCTCATCAATTAAATATGAATATAAAGCTATAATAATGCAGATATAAAATACAATATATTCAAGGATTCAGTGATTTTAATTGTATATAGCTACAGAGAGCTTGCTTATATGTTAGCAGTCTCTCTCTCAGAGTTAAATAAAATTATTTAATGTTAGTGGAGCGCCATTTTCTTTCCAGCTTTCTAGATGTCTGTTTTAAATATGTAACTCAGAATTGAACCAAGGAGCCGGTTTCCTCTGATAGATTACTTTCTTTTTCAGCGGAGCAGCTTTATCGAGTGAAGTTCGCATTGAAGTTGTAAAATTATCATCCAGATGATCTAAGTCACTGCTCTTTGATGCATCACTCTGCAAGACAGAGGAAAACGATGGAAGGGAATCTTTAAATTTGCTTACAGCATTTTCAGATAAGCACCTGCTAAAGTGAAATTTACTCTGTGACTGTAGACATTTAATGTAAACTCAAAAGGTTATTTAAAAAAATGGTCAGACAGAACAGGGTTTTGAGGATGTATTACTAAGTCCTTAATCACTATGCCATAAGTCAGATCCAGGTCGAGTGCGATGATGAGAATCGGTAGATGTGTGCTATGCTTAAGCTATCACTTTCAACATCTACATGAATTTGAAATCATCCATTTCATAAATAGTGTTATTTACTTCCTGAATTTTGTTCTGTGAAGAACCCAGAGAGGGTTATTTGATTGTGCTTTCTGGAAAACAATAAATTTTTACGTTTAGGCACTCCTGCAATCGTCACACTTTTTCTGTTACAAACTGACTCCGGCCCTCCACCAGAGAAGGGAAAAGTTATGTGGCCCTCACAGGAAAAAGTTTGGGGACCCCTGCATTAGTATGTCTATTATTATTATTCAATAATAAGACAAAAATCAGAGAATTCAGACAAAAATTGAGAATAAGGGCCTGGTGGACAATATATAACAAGCAGCAAAAGTGGCTTTTCTGATTTTCATTTTGGATGTGAAAGACTGAGGGACAGCAACTCAAAAATAATTATAACCAATAATTGGTTAGCATTAATTAATATTGTTTTTATCCATTCAACCTTTATTTCTACAGATTAGTCTCATTGAGTCACAAGGACTCATTTTCAAGAGAGACCTGTTTTAACAAAAAAAACATATAAGGTACACACACAAAAATAAAACAGTTATACAAAAGCATATAAAATGAAAAGTAAATAAAAGTAGTGATATAAAATGAAATAAAGACAAACTACACAATGAAACAGTGTAAAATACAAAAAACAAGAACATGTCTGCATTGATTTTTGTATTGAACTTAATAGTTGATTAGAGAGGTCATTGCCAACAGCTTCATCTTTTTGTAAGGTGTTCCAGGTTGCAGGAGCAGAGTATGAAAAGGCTCTTTTGCCAAATTTGGTCCACATTGAGGGGACACTGCAGGTATTTATGTCTTGAGATCTCACACAATCCTGACTGAAAAATAGAAGCTCCTCCTCCACCTCAACCTGTTGTTCTAGGAACGTGAAAATTTAAATATTTGGGGGGAGTGGATTCATTTATACTAACAAAATCTTCCTGTTGTAGCCAGGTTTCTGTCAGACAGAATAAATCAATATGATGATCAGTTATCAGATCATTAACTAACAGGGATTTAGAGGAAACAGATCTGATGTTCAGTAAACCACATTTAATGATTTTATTCTTTTGATCTGGTAAAGTAACTGTTTATCTTAATAAAACTTATGATTTATAATTTTAGAGCTGATTTTTGGTTTATTTAACTTGAGTTGTGGGTGGCACCGTTTCAATGGAAGAGTGGATGGGTAACAGAGAAGAAGCAGCAGAGAGGTGTGGAGGACTACAACCCTGCTTCCTGGACTGAACCCTGGGTTGTCAATAATTTGGAGGACAAACAAAAATCAGACAAATTTCTAGAAAGAAGAGCGGCTCCATCCAAAGTGGAATGGATGCCATCTCTTGGCATCAGACCACATTTTCTCCAAAAAGCACTCCAGTTATCCATGAAGCCCATGCTGTTTTCAGGACATCAAATGGACAGCCAGCGGTTAAATGATGACATTTGACTAACATCATCGCTAGTCAGGTTGGGGTCATCGTCTATGAACCTTTTACCTTGTCATATCTCAAAAATAAAACTTTAACAAGCATTAAAATAAAATCACCTTCATATGGCCATCTGCTGCTCATGGTTTAAGATCCGTTTTTATCCAACTAATTGTTTTACAAACCGGATTCCAAAAAAGTTGGGACACTAAACAAATTGTGAATAAAAACTGAATGCAATGATGTGGAGGTGCCAACATCTAATATTTTATTCAGAATAGAACACAAATCACAGATCAACAGTTTAAACTGAGAGAATGTATCATTTTGAGGGAAAAATCTGTTGTTTCCAAATTTCATGGCGTCAACAAATCCCAAAAAAGTTGGGACAAGTCCATTTTTACCACTGTGTGGCATCCCCCCTTCTTCTTACAACACTCAACAGACGTCTGGGGACAGAGGAGACCAGTTTCTCAAGTTTAGAAATAGGAATGCTCTCCCATTTATGTCTAATACAGGCCTAAATGTTCAATCGTCTTGGGCCTTCTTTGTCGCACCTTCCTCTTTATGATGCGCCAAATGTTCTCTATAGGTGAAAGATCTGGACTGCCGGCTGGCCATTTCAGTACCCGGATCCTTCTACGTAGCCATGATGTTGTGATTGCTGCAGAATGTGGTCTGGCATTATCGTGTTGAAAAATGCAGGGTCTTCCCTGAAAGAGATGACATCTAGATGGGGAGCATATGTTGTTCTAGAACCTGAACATAGTTCTCTGCATTAATGGTGCCTTTCCAGACATGCAAGCTGCCCATGCCACAAGCGTTCATGCAACCCCATACCATCAGTGATGCAGGCTTCTGAATGGAGCGTTGATAACAACTTGGGTTATCCTTGTCCTCTCTGGTCCGGATGACATGGCATCTCAGTGTTCCATAAAGAACTTCAAATCGTGACTCATCTGACCACAGAACAGTCTTCCATTTTGCCATTCTCCATTTTAAATGACCCCTGGCCCAGTGCAAACGTCTGAGCTTGTGGAGCTTGCTTAGAAATGGTTTCCTCTTTGCACTGTAGAGTTTCAGCTGGCAACGGCGGATGGCACGGTGGATTGTGTTCACTGACAATGCTTTCTGGAAGTATTCCTGAGCCCATTCTGTTATTTCCTTGACAGTGGCATTCCTGTTTGAGGTGCAGTGACGTTAAAGGGCCCGGAGATCACGAGCATCCAGTAGAGTTTTACGGCCTTGACTCAGCGATTGTTCCAGATTCTCTGAATCTTTTGATGATGTTATGCACGGTTGATGATGATAACTTAAGAGTCTTTTCTATTTTACGCTGGGTAACACCATCCTGGTATTGCTGCACTATCTTTCTGCGCAACAATGGTGGAATTGGTGATCCTCTTACCATCTTGGCTTCTGAGAGACAATGACACTCTGAGAAGCTCTTTTTATACCCAGTCATGTTGTCAATTGACCTAATTAGTGTTAATTGGTCTTCCAGATGTTCGTTATATGCACAATTTCCTTTTTCCAGCCACTTATTGCTACTTGTCCCAACTTTTTTGGGATTTGTTGACACTGAAATTTTAAATCAACATATTTTTCCTTTAAAATGTTACATTCTCTCAGTTTAAACTTTTGATCTGTCATGTGTTCTATTCTGAATAAAATATTAGATGTTGGCACCTCCACATCATTGCATTCAGTTTTTATTCACAATTTGTTTAGTGTCCCAACATTTTTGGAATCCGGTTTGTAAATAGAAACCGTTTATCTGAGGCTTACCTGACCTATTTTCTACATTTTCCAAGTTATGCTTGTGTTGCCCCTCCCCCTTTGGCTTCCAAAAAAGGTGGGAATCCCCATAGCAACCAGTAACTCAGCAGATTGTGAGTCAGTGAATTCTATATTAAACAGCAGGCTTCTCTTCTACTTTTACACAATGGCCACCCCCACATTTTTTGTGTTTGTTTTGATTAAATTTTGAAATAAAAGAGAATAAAAGCCTCTTCAGAAATTAGGGCTTAAAAACGCAAAAAAAATATCAGAAAGAGATTTTGACTTGGAGTTTCAAAATAAAGCTCAGACGTTTTTCAAATTGAAAGTGAGTTTCCAAGAAACTAAACCTTATGCCAACTTCTCTGTACTTTAATCTTGTTCATTTAACAGATTTTACTTCTGTGAAACCTGAGGGACCAAACAGCGCCCCTGCTGTTTCTGCTGACGGTACTCACACATCCGGCTGCTTTTGACGCGGCCCTTTTCCCCACAGACTTTGCCACCTTTTTGCCTCCTTCTTTAGCCGCCAGCAACAGAACCTGTAGAATCACCGTCATGCTTGCTGCTAACAGAGCGTTATTTGCTATGATCTTCCTGGACACGTTTGCTTTTGGCAAACCACACATTTGATGTAACTTGACAGAGTGAGACAAGTCAAGTCCTTGTCGTTTGGCCTCTGATCTCAGGAGCTGCTCCATGATGTTAGCATCACCATCATCATCATCACAGGAACCTGAAGGTTGTCCTCCATCTGCTCCCGGTTTCAAAGACTTTATGAGATCTTGGATTTCTTTCTCCAGTTTCTGGAGCTCAGCAACAATTTTTTTGGCTTCCTCCATGGCATTCTTTGATTTGCTGGCAACGATGGCCTCAGAGCCAACACTAGTGAGCAGACTAGTTCCTGATGCCAACGCTCCAACTGCTCCAACTGCAGCCAGAACTGGCAGAGCAGCTCCGCCTGTCACAGCGGTCAGCAATCCTGCCACTGTCATTGCTGTAGCGCCCCCTACAGACACCGAGCTGCCTACAACCTTGGTGACATTAGCAGTCTTCATGGTTTCTTCCAGCTCATCAGCCAGAGTGTTAAACTTTCTTGCACATTGTTTCTGCAGCTCCAGCCACTTGAAGATTTTCTTGAGAATGTCGGCATCATCCATGATGGGATTAGAGGGAGATAACAGCACACCTGCAACAAGGACCGAAAACAGTTACTGACGATGTTTGAGGAGTGGAAAAATTTTAAAAATTTTAACAAGATCTTGGAGCATGGGAAGTTATAACTCCTTCCAATCAAGCAGTGCTCAAAGTGGGCCAGTACTCACAGGTATGCAGTACCAGGTCTTCTAAAGTTTCATCTTTAGCATATTGTCACTGTATAAACCTGCCAATACAAGGTGTCACAAACTAAGCTATAGCCAAATCTTAAACTACATTACCCAGAGGACATCAGTTGAAAATAGGAAATCATGTCTTGCCCTACACTGCTTCTGATTGGATCACCTGTAAGGAACCAGGTGACGCAAGACTCATGAGGAATGATTATTGGTTAAAAGTTAAGCCCAAAAAGCCAATCAGAGGTACAGCTGGGTGAGTGGCTGATGCAGTACCGAGGACTTCAATATATCCAGTCTGTACACAGAGAAAATGACGGTTACCGTGAGAAAACGGTAAATCTGTTGGTAAGTCTTGGCCAAACAAAATATCAATGTTTAACACGAAACACATCGGGTACTTGGCAGCCTCTGTGCAGTGGCTCCGCCTACTTTTGGGGAAAACTACTACCCCAGACCTCCACCCTGCACTGGCGGTGAATGGAACGGTCACCATTATAGGGATGAATACTTTTGAGTGCAGACTGACGAGGAGTTTAAATAAACGTAAAGATTTTATTTAAAAAATCAAAACAAAAGCTGCCATGGCAGCAAAATTACAAATACTTTGGAGCAAGCACAAGGAGACATGAGGACATGGTGTAAAACACAAACAATGACAGACTGAAGAGGTGAAGCTTAAGGACTATACTGATTAGGAGTGGCTGCAGCTGTGACGGATTAAACAGCAGACAGGTGTAGATGGACATGGCTGGAAAAGTACTGCCTGAGGTTTGTAATGTTACAGTTTCACATGAAATCAGAACTGTCTCAAAGGTTCTGTTATCAGGACAGAAAAACACCCCGATCCTCTGTAGCTGTTAGAACATGACAAATCCAACCTGACTTTATTAAACACTAAATGAAAAACTTCCACTGGGATTCAGATCATGTTATTCAGCCCACTGTCCAGAACCAGATCTTCAAACAAAACTCAGCTTGGCTTTTTCTGAGCCAAGGCTTAAAAAGCTCTTCAGAACCAGACCCTACCTACAGTTTCCTAAACATCAAACAGGAAATAAACTTGAACAAGTTCACCCAGCAGGACAAACAATGACCCGACTGGTTCTGGTTTCTTGGAGGCAGAAAGTGAAAGAAAAAAAAAAAAAAAAAAAGACAGCTAACAGAAGTCCTGCAGCCTGATTTGTGAAAATCAACTGATTTATTGTTTAACTAGAACAAACTGACAGAAAACATCAGGAACCAAAAACTCACAAAAGCCTGTTCCAAGCAGATCAGACTCTGGGAGCAGCAATGTTCCTGCAGGTTTTACTCACCGTCTGAACAGAACCTAAGCAGCTGCAAGGTTTCTGTCTGATATGTGGAGCTTGTTGTTCTGAAGTCCAGCCGAGGGGTTTAGTCAAACAACTGTCCGGGTCTGAACTGCTGCTGGGTGGTTGTTCAGCTGCAGATAAGAGCCAAGTTCCTGCAGCTGCGGATTTATCAGAAATCATGTGACCCGAGGGATGTGGGTTGAGCCCAGGCTCAGGCCCACTTAAGGACTGTTTGCAGGGTTGGGTCCATGTTCATGGACATGGACATGTTAAAAGTGAAAGTTGAAGCTAATATTATCTGAGAAAATCAAACATTAGGAGAATATGTTGTAGATCATTGTTATTAAAGTTTGAGAAGAAAAAAGTTTTGTAGATTTTTAACATTTCTTAATTCGCCGACTGACAAGTCATTGAAAAAGTTTATTCATAGCTTTTTGAGCAGAAATAAAATATAACAATGTCAAAAAGTTTATCCTTCTAAATGAGACATTCAGTCAGTCTGAACAGTAAACTGGGGTTTAGGATCTAGCTGAAACAATAAATCCAATAAATCATTGAACCTACACCCTAAACTTTTAAATACCTCGTTGTCCTGGCTACGGAGGAGGCGGAGCAAATGCAATCAAGAATCCCATGAATCCAAATGTTTGATTCAATTTGACGGTTTGAAACTGTTTTTTTAATTTTATTTGATGAAGTCATGAGGTCAGGCAGGTGTCCCCGTAGATGTTTGCAGATGATACTGTGATCTGTAGTGAGAGTAGGGAGCAGGCGGAAGAGAGCCTAGAGAGGTAGATGCATGTTCTGGAGAGAATGTATGACTTTAAGACCTTGAGAGGTCTTATAACTGTTTATAAAATGGATTCATTTGGTGGAACTGATTCTTGGTTATGATTATTATGACCTCATGAATAACTCTATGCCTGATATTATAAGCTAAATAATTCAACTGACTGCTGACTGTGAAAATGAGGGACAACTATTACTAGTTTAAGAATTCAAATAAATCCAGATATTATTAAATCTGACAGTTTAAAACTATTGTAAGTTCTTAAAATGCATCACTCTCAGGCTCTGGCTCTAGACCATTTTCTCCTTGGGGCGTCAGATCATCCATCTGCTCATCACCCTGAGTTTCCTCTCAGTTGTTGGATTTCTGATCCAGTATTTGACTTCACTGACCAAACTTCTTATTACAGACACTTGAACACATCATCAGGACCAGCGGCGCTGTTTTGACTGATCATTTAAATAATGTTTCACACATTTAAGACTCGGTTCTGGCGTTCCTTAGGGTTCAGTTCAATTCACTTTATGCCAGTTTACAACAAAAGTCATCTTCAGAGTCAGAGTCAGAGATTCTTTATTGTCATTCGCACCTCATGTGGTACATGTGGTGGAGCGAAATTATGTACACAGGGTCCCAGTTACATCTAACAATAAAATGTATAAGAAAAACAGTAATAACATCTAAGATATGAACTAAGAAAAACATCAACTAAATATGCACTAAGCACTCATAGGGTGCCATACAAAATATTCACAGACAGAACATTATAAAATGCCAATCACTAAAAAGTTCTCTAAGGACAGACCGGGGGACCAGATCAATCCTATACTCCCCTTCAAGCAAAGTTGATCCCTAACTTTATGCTAATGACCCCAAACTACACTGATCCCCCCCAACATTTTTGTGATGTACTCCAACATTACACAAACCACACCCAACTTTACACTAATGACATCAAACTTTACGCTGATGACACTCATCTTTATGCTATTGACCCCAAACTTTATGCTGATAATACCAGCTTTCTGCTGATGACACCCAACATTATTTAACAGTGGAACTGGGCCAGTGCTGGATAAATCAAACCTGGATGAGGAAAAAAATTAACGTAACTGTTTTTAGTTTTTAAAACTGAAAACAACTAGGAGTTACTTGTGTTTAAAAGGGGCTGCAGGTAGACTACTGAGTCGTCAGGGTACTTTGTTGTGTTATAACATCTGGAAAATAAAATAAGACTGAGTTCTAATTACAGTTCTTGTGGGTTTTGTTGTTAAGTTTTATGAGACAGAGCAGTCTGTGTTGGATTGACTGAACATATCTGATTAACATTTCAGTCTGGTTCTGTAGACAGTGCAGGCAAACTGCTTCTCCAGGTACTTCCTGTCCAACTTTTGTCCAACAGATCTGTCCCCCAAACAGACACTGTGATGCACTGTGGCTTTAAGCCTGGACTGGAGGAGAACAAGAGACAGGGCTAAAGTGACCACTGACAACGGGATGCTCTTCATCTCCGGGGAAGATGAACGAGATAACGATCCGGTTTCTTCCTGGAAGCCATATTTCATGGTGAGAAATTAAAATTTCTTCCCCACGCCATCATCTGGTTGAAGAGGACTAATTGTGATGATGGGGACCATCTGATCTCCAGCTTTCTTCATGGAGTTCCAGTGGTCTGGTGGTTTCATGGGTCGATGTTTTGCATCAAGAAATTCATAGCTGTCTTTTTTGGTGCAAACTGTGCAGTGGCTTCGTTCGTCCTGTGGCGATACCATATGCTAAACCCCAGGTTACACAGTTCGAAGGAGAATAGAGGACCACATTCAGGTCTTTCTTGTAAATGAGTCCTCGAGGCTCAGTGGGATTTACCTGTCTAAATAAAGGTTGAATGAACATCTCTGATGGAGGACAGAGGCAGCAAACAGCTGGCTGGAATCATGAAGTCTCTAATAGATCCATGACATACAAAGGTGATGTCAGCAGTGTCACTGTGATCCTTTTTCGCTTCCTCATCGATGTGTCTTTTCAGGAAACGAAACATATCCACTAGTCTGATGAAGCTGAAGGACCCTGAAGTTTCTCTTAACCACTTTAGAATGGTTTGATTTGAACAATTTTCCATCGCAAGTTTTATTAATTTTGTCCTATCATCTGAGCTTTTGACTCCTTCAGAATGATGAAGACCACTCTGGTACGGGTCCTCCTGGAAAAAAAAAAACAACAATTGAATATCTGAAGCTAGACCAGTGTATATTGATTTTAGGGGATAATGCCCATTTGGAAGGATGATCTGGGATGGACCCAGACTTTAAAGTGAAGACATCTCATCTTACTTGTGAACTTTTTGAGATTCGCCCAGCAGAACTGGAGTGTCTCAGGACAGAAGTGTTAAAAACCGAGTTTAGTCTGTTTTCACTGTGAGCCGACCATAAAGAAGTGGAAAAAACTGATGAATTATCAAAGAGCTGAAGACTATAGCTCAGATTTTATATTTAGCTCCTATCAGCTCATTAGGAGGGTGTCTACAGAGTCTGTGCAGTGGTGTCATCCACACTGTTTAACGCTCTGATTATAGATGCTAGTTTGTCAGATATAGCATACATTAGCATAACTTTAGCACACAAAAGTAGTTATCTAGAGCAATTGGTGGGAGGGTTTGATGTGTCCCCCATTGCCAAGCACAAAATCTTTAAAAAAAAATCTTAGACAAGAACTTGCAACGTTTAGCAAGAATCAGTCAGCATCAAGAAGAAGCAACAGGGAAACCTGAACATGCAATGATTTCCCATTGGTTATTTATGGATATTGTTCTATGTTTCTTCGGGACCATTAGTCAGTTTTTGTCCGTTCATCATCCCAGAACATTTTCGCAGTCAGTTTCTGCCCCTTCAGTCAGCTCACCACACCTATCTTCACCTTCTCCCAGTCAGTTGTAGCCGCTCTTTTCATTAACCCTGGTCTATATGTATTCCCTGTGTCGATCCTCCAGCCATGGCCCACTAAGCGTTGTAAACACCCTGTCCGGTACCTCTGTGCCTGTTCAGAACCTTTCAGAATTTGTCTCTGGGCTGTGCAAGTTGTTTTCTGCATCATTGATCTTTGTTTTGATAAAATAAATCCATTATGACACTTACGTCGCTGTGTTTGTTTGGAGTGTTGGTTGCTGGAAATTCACTTAAAAACTTTCAGTTATTTATCCCTCAAAGTAATTCCTTAAATCAACCTGGAATACGCTCATAAATCATTGTATTTATATACAAGGGTGCGCACATATTCTTGCATGTGCGTATGTTTGAGGCACATCATCAAGGTGGTGGTCAGTAGGGACCTGTGATAGAAACAGGATCATGTCTGTGTTGATCTTTAAAGTCCCTTAGAGTGGTCAAAGTCGACGGCTTCAGAGCCTAACATGCATGTTTTTGGTCTGTGGGGAAAAAAAACAGGGTACGTGGAGAAAACCCACATAGCACGGAGAGAACATGCAAACTCCACCCAGAAAGGTCCCCGAGCCAGAATTTGATCCGACCATATTCTTGCTGAGAAGCAGCAACCCTCCCAACTGCGCCACCGTGCCGCCCCGAGTCAGAACCTGTCTAATGAAAACAAATGGGCCCACTTTTGAAACTGCAGAAGCCCTAAAGATCAAAACACTGACATAACAAGAGATCAAACTTCAAACATCAGATATTATTTTGATCAATAATCTGTCTGATTGATGAAAACAATTGGAAGATTTATCTGTCAGGATCTCTGGGATCTGAATCATAAATATTTTTAATTGTTAGATTATGTTGTTGACATGAACAAATCCGTCATCTGAAACAGAAAAATGAATTCCTGTTTTTGTCCCTTTCAGGGCTTCCATAACAACAAATGTTAAAATAACGACTCGTTCTAAAAAGTTTGTATGCTTTAATAACGTTTCATGTTTCTGCAGAACTTGTTTCTCTGTGTCTCATTTCTACGATGTTGTCAATGTCTGTCCTTTTCCTTGTCTGGAATCTGCATAAAAGAATTCCAGGTTTTCCAGGATGACACAGTTTGTCTTGTCGAAGCTTCCAGTGTCCTTCCCTCTGTCTCCTTCTGGTGGTGGACCTCAGTTCCTGCGCTGGTCCTGGTCTTTCCTCCTCTGTTTTTCCTTCTGTTTCTCCAGTTTGTCCAGAGCTTTTCTCTCCTTCTCTACTGCACTTTGGACGTCTTTGATGCGACGCTTCAGAGCGCTGCGATCAGACGAACTGAGCACGCCCAGACCCTGCAGGCACAAGAAGACAGCAGAGACGATGCTGACACGTTTGTGTTACAATCATTTCCTCTCAGCCTGACGTCTTAACCCAAACTTTGACCTTAAATTTAACGTAAGGTCAACCCTTCATCACAATTTAAAAATCTAGAAGGAATTACAGATGGAAACAAAAATGAACTCAATCTGTCCTGAAGACGTCAGAAAGGACACATTTCAGAAAATTTATCTTGACAGTAAAAAGTTCATCTTCCATTTGGTTTGACACCATCACCTTCATCGTCATCATCACCTTCATCATCATCATCGCCTTCATCATCATCATCATTGTCACCTTCATCATTACCTTCATAATCATCATCATCACTTCATCATCACCATCTTCACAACCACCTTTATCATCATCATCATCACCTTCATCATCATCATAATCACCTTCATCATCATCACATTCATCATCATCATCACTTTCATCATAATCATCACCTTCAGCATCATCATCTTCACAATCACCTTCAGCATCATCATCTTCA